AAATCATAGGAAGGACATCTGAGTCTTTGGAAGCAATAACAAAAAAGCAGAGCTGCAGTAAAAAAGTTATACGCATTCAAGCAAAAAGGCACCAAATAGCATCTGGTCTAATGACAAAATTGTGCAGGGACTAATATCCTTTGTGGCCAACAAAAGAAGACTGCTAGCTCCCTGTTCCACAGCAAGAGGAGGAACCCCATTTAAGCTTTCTTCTTGCCAAGCAGCCAGGGGCCAGTGTCTCACAAATATGATAAAAACCATGCTTTACTGTACTAATGTATGTGTGATTTATGCTTCTTTTTGTAAGTGGAGCCCATTACAAGCAGCTGAAGTAAACAAAGTGCTTGGGTTGTGTGCCGTTACGCCTTAATCTCCTTCTAAATTATATTGCTCATTTTTAAAATGTGCACTCATAAGCTCTAGAAAGTGTTGCTTATATGCATTTTTGCTGCTGATAATCAAGCTGATGTGTGTGCTTAAGAGAACCTTGGCTTAACCCTCTATATAATTTGCTATTATTGGAAGCCAGTTGAGATGATTACTAGGGTTTGTGTTTTTTTCCATCTAGATTGTGCCAGAATCCAAAAAACAGCAGGTAGTCATACACATTATGCTTTCCTTCTTCTATTTTGTGTGTGTTGTTACAAAAGCCTAATTGGATCAAGTATGGGTCATGCGTTGGATCTTTTATTTCTAAATATGTAAAATAACACCCCTCTTCATCTAAATGCCTGTCCTTGGTTTGTTGAGGCTATCTGTTCCATATTTCATAACTGGCTGGAATCACCTTTTTTGGAGAAGGAAAAGAATTGGGCGGGGGAGAGGGATGAGTAAGTACTAGTGCAGGGATGGGGAAGATGTAGCCCTACAGATGTTTTTGGACTCCCATCTCTCATTACCCCCAAATAGCTTGGTCTATAGTCAGGATTGGACGCGGGTGGCGCTGTGGGTTAAACCACAGAGCCTAGGACTTGCCTATCAGAAGGTTGGCGGTTCGAATCCCCGTGACGGGGTGAGCTCCCGTTGCTCAGTCCCTGCTCCTGCCAAGCTAGCAGTTTGAAAGCATGCCAGTGCAAGTAGATAAATAGGTACCGCTCCGGCGGGAAGGTAAACAGTGTTTCCATGTGCTGCTCTGGTTCGCCAGAAGCGGCTTAGTCATGCTGGCCACATGACCTGAAAGCTGTACGCCAGCTCCCTCAGCCAATAAAGCGAGATGAGCGCCGCAACCCCAGAGTCAGTCACGACTGGACCTAATGGTCAGGGGCCCCTTTACCTTTACTTATAGTCAGGAAGGAGGGGGCTATAAACCAGGTGTGGGGAACCTTTGGCTTTTGGATGTTGCTGAACTACAACCTCCACCATCCCTGGCCATTGGCCATGCATGCAGGGGCTGATGGCAGTTGTAGTTCAGCAACATCCAGAAGGCCAATGGTTCCCCCTACTGCTTTAGTCAATTGACATCTGGAAGGCCACAGGTTAGCAATCCCTTTCTTAAGGAAATAGAATATTTCAGAACATGACAGGTCTTTAAAAACAAATGTTCCTTCCTTCGGAATACCCCAGCTTTGTAGCTGAGCAGACCAGACAGTACCTCCCCGGAGGGACCCTTATTTTTGTAATTGTGATCTGGCAATCTTACTGTGCTCATTACTCTGCTCCTTAGACCAAATCCTCTCTCAGTGTAAATTAGAATAACTAGCTTTGATGGGAACTGCAGTCGTTTACATTGTCTAAGGAGATGATCCTGTGAAAATGACTCTGCTTTTTTTTGCCAACAGGAATTCAACTCAGCTCTTGTTCAATTTTCTGCTTCAAGATAATGGAAAAAAATAGGTGAGGGGGCAGAGGGAAACCATGTACACCACCTTGAGCTCATGGGAGTAGAGGTGAGATATAAATGTAACAAATAAATAAAAATGAACAACAAACAACAGGTTATAGCAATAAATCCCATACATGAACTCAGGGTGTTGTCATTTCTGCAAGAGTATCTACGTAGGTAAATACAATTCTTTCATTAGAAAAACAAAAACAAATAAGCCTCTCTCCAGCACACATACTTTGCTCACTTTTTTTCTGTGTAATTTGCAGTGCATACATCATAAGCAATATATTTCAGTGGCTTTACATAGGTAACAATTATGGAAATGTGCTGATAAAATGCATCTTTTACAGCTGTAATTCTGTGTATTAGGAGCATTTAATGGAGGGGTAGAGGCAATGACCCAGTTCCTCAGCTTGCTTTCTGCTTCCAGTGGTGTGGTAGCAACATTTGTGTCATGTCACTTTGAGGTGCCTTGGTTCTTCCACCTTCTTCAGGCCAGACAGTAAAAGGCCCCACACTACCCAGAGGTCCTCTGCCAGACGACAAAGTGTGGATGCAGTGGAAGCAACAAAGCTACCCTTCTTTGCTGCCTTCCTTGCCACCAGGTAGGCTCAGTGTTCAATTGCACTCAACCAGAATTTTCCTCTGCTCACATTTGAGCCACCTCTCAGCTTGTTTCCTCGCCCTAAGCTCTGGAGTATACCAAGGAGCCAAAGGGGTTCCATGAAGCAGGAGAACATGAGATATACCGTCACCATGCCATTCGCCTCCCATTGAGGTCAATAGAAGAGAAACTTCCTGTACTGCAGTTCTGGAGCTGATGTACACCCGCCAATTGTCCTGATTTGACCAGGACATTGCTGACAAAAGCCACAAGCAGTGAGATCGCCTGGTGGGGTGGCATGGTGGGGACGGGGGATGCCCTAGATTTAGGTTAGAAGAAGTTGGAGGTATGCTGCTGTAAAGGTGTGCCATGGATGGGGGTACGGTTGTGGCTTGAAGGCATAAGTATGCTTCTCCTCTATGTTCTTAATTGCTGTGGCTGTCTCCCATGTTGTCCTCCGCCCCTGCTTTGCAATATGTGAGCACTGTGTTTTGTCTCAGCTATATTAGTCTATCGCTGTTCCCGTCCCACGTCTATGGGGAGCAGCGTCTTGCACACGTGCAGGAGAGGCACTCACCACCCCTACACGCAGTTAGGCTCCCTGTTGGCAAAGGCTACAACTCTGTCCTTTGAAGCCACCTTTTGCCTTTTGGCACCTGTGGAGATTGGCGGCAACAAAGAACCTTCTAGTTTTGTTGTTTGGGCCTTAAACGCGTAATTAGATGTGAATGTTCCTCTCTGTTTATCAATAATGCAGATTCAGCACAGCTCCTCCGCTGTTTGTGCAGCTATTATTATGCAGCACAATATGTTCACACTGACAACACAGCCCCGATTAATAATTTAGCGCTGATCTGGAGGAGTCTGTCACATTGAGCAATGGCTTTCGTCACCAAGTTTGTAGTTTGGCATTCACAGACAGGGCCAGATCAAGGCCTGTGTTAAACATGCCGTAGGCTACATGCCCTGTAATGTAACAATGGGAGAGAGATTCACATGGGATCACGTGTGGACCTATGCCTCTCCTTGTGTTAGCTCAGTTCATTTAAAGTCAGCATGTAGCCATTCTTGGGACACAGTGGAGGCTGGTGGAACCTAGTGGGCCATCAAGGAGGTCCCATGGGGGGGCACCTAGGTCTCTATCCTCTATTGTGAGGAGGATGTAATACTAAATCAACCACTCTGTGGCTTGCTTCCCTGTTCAATTAAGAGAGGAGCTTGATACAACTTACTCTCATGTTGAGTGGACAGAGGATTGCAGGTGGCACTCAACATCCCGGGTGACGTATAGTGAGCTTCATTTCTGAGCGAGGTTTTGAACCCAGGTCTCTCCCATGCCCTAACTGAACCACTTGACCTGTACACACTGCAATCAAGTAGGGTTGCCAACTGATCAAAAGAATGGCCTAGCCTGCTCAGAAATCTACAGGTGTAAGCTGATTTATCTGTGCAGAGAAGCATCCTCAGAGAGTCATGTCAACCCCTGTTAAAAACACAAAAGCAGGCTGGCTTGCTTCTCCCAATATGTTGGATGTTAACATTTACTGTTGAAGTAATTATGCTAGTGCTTATTTTTGGGCTTCCACCCACACACTCTTGCTCAAAAGTCTGCAAATAAGCTATATCCAGGCATGCTATTCCACTTACATCGAAGCACCCACAATATTGTTGGCCGACTACTTGAAAGCTCTAATCCACTTTCCATATTTGTTTACCTGCATCTTTCATTCTTTTGACTGCGCCTTATCTTTAAGAGTACAAATTAAAGCGTAACACAGATGTTTCCAGAAAGGGAGCCCTGTTGATATTCCACAATCTGACAGTGTACAGTTTTGAATGGATAATAAAGCATTGAACATCCATCCAGAACTTCAAAGAATACAGACCCAAGCATCCTAGCCAGAAATGTATTTCAGAGGCATAACCATGTTAGCTTATTGTGCCAATAAGAACAAAGAGTCCTCAGGCACCCCTGGCCAAGGAAGGCACATGTCTGATAGTGAATTCTTTATTGACAAAAGCATGCACTTACAGCAATTCCAATGGTGCCCCAGATACACCCACACACTTGCTTCTGGCCTCTAGGCAGCTGTCCCAGGGCTGTGCCCTCCGGAGCAGTTGCAGCAACAGTGGGGACTACACACCCCAACCAGCTTCTGTACCCTCGCCTGACAGGGTGCATGCACACAACTTGAGGCTTTTCCTGTGTGGAAGGCATCGCTGCTCTTCTGTCTTCAAGCCCCTCCTGGTTCTAGGAGCAGCAGGGTGGGGGATGATGGGGATTCGATTGGCCCGTCCCTTGCCTGAACAGCCTCTTCCTCCAACATATCCTGCCTGCCCATCTCTGTCTCTGACAGCTCTGAGCATTCCTCTTCCCCCTGCCTAGGCTTCTGCCTCACGGGTGGCACCAAACCCCATATAACGCTGGCCTGGACCAATGCCACACACGTGTCAGGCACTGGCAGCTTCATGGTGGCATGTATCTGGTAGTGTTACCGTCTTCATCTAATTGTTTTGATTTTTTTTTAGTGCTAATGTACAAACTTAAGCGATACAAGTGTACCATGTTTGGGGAAGGGCTGCAGCTCAGTGGTTAGAGCATCTGCATAGCATGCAGAAGGTCGCAGGTTCAATCCTTGGCATCTCCCAAGTTAGGCTGGGAGAGACTCTGAAACCGTAACAAGTCCCTGCCAGTCAGTGTAGGATATACAGTGGTACCTCGGGTTGCATACGCTTCAGGTTACAGACTCCGGTAACCCAGAAATAGTGCTTCAGGTTAAGAAATTTGCTTCAGGATGAGAACAGAAATTGTGCTCCGGCGGCAGCAGGAGGCCCCATTAGCTAAAGTGGTGCTTCAGGTTAAGAACAGTTTCAGGTTAAGAACGGACCTCCAGAACAAATTAAGTACTTAACCCGAGGTACCACTGTACTGAACTTGATGGACTGATAGTCTGACTTGGTATAAGGCAGCTTCATTAGTACGATACAGAAAGTTTCTCCTGGTAGACACTGAATCAGTGTAGAGATTTTCTGCATCTTTCCTTACATGGATGGTGGCACCACCCAGGCTTGGTCTAATCTCTTAAGGTGACCATGTGTCCTACTATACAGAGAACAGTCCCTGGTTTGATGCCCTGGCTGGTCCAAGTCCCATTCCAGATAAAGTACCATAAGAAAGGAGGGCTTGAAGTTGCCAATCAACCGTTAGCATCTAGACAGCAGACAATACAGGCAGGCAGGTCACTTGGTTGCAGTCTTCTTTGCTATGGCAAAATTTATCATGTTTCTATTTAAATTACAGTTATGATTTATAACTTTACATGTGCACATTTTATGCAAATCTGTGCCTCTTTTTGTCCATGTTTTTGGTGATGAATTTCCTCTGCTCCCCTTTTTTGTGGGGAGGAGATGAGCCAGGAGTGGCCAAATTCCACTCCCCATGAGTAGCTGGGGGAGGGAATTTGGAGAGGTGAAATGGCAGAAAAAGAGTGAATTAACCACCACCATCTTGCATTTGAGTCTTGAGATGAGTACATACTGTACATTTAAAACCCCATTAATAACCCATAGTCCCCAGAATTTTGGGGGGGGGGGACTCATGTGCATTTAAAGCATGATTTAAGATTTATTTATTTAGAATATTATGTGTGCTTTTTGCAAACTTCAGCCTGGCAAGAACCAGCTCCAAATTATTGCATAGACTTTCTGCTGAAGGGTGGTTTGCCCTCTCCTGCTCCCTTCTCCTGGGGAGGGCAGGGTATAAATAATTTTATTTATTATTATTATTATTATTATTATTATTCCCAGGGCTCAGTGGTGGGAGGTAGTACAGAGGAAGAATAGCCAGGACCCCCTCCCATGACATCACCTGGGGCTGCCCTTAGGTCTCAGGTTTGGGTCCTGAAATCTCAATATGCTTCTGACCTAGCAGACCTAACTCTTACAAGCTATTTTTGCTGCCTGAGCCAAAGGACAAGATGCAACCCCTACTTTGTGCAGAAGGTGACCAGATGGGCCATCAAATCTTACTTCAAAAGTGGCAATGCAACAGCATTCCTCACCATGCCTCTTGGCACACACAACTGCCTCTCCTCACCTACCCACCCTCGGCATCTGCTGCCTGATATGGCCACATCACTTTACTTTACCTAACGGTAGGGCCACCCCCAACCTCACTTCAGATACTTAAAATCTGGATTGAATGCCAGACTAAAAAGCATTTGCCCTGGGCTGTGTAAAGTTCCCCTAGTGTTGTTATCTCAGAAGGACTATCATAGGACCAAAGGAAGCTGGAGTGGTGGCTTGTGGCCACTGGGACTATTTGGGTAGAAAGGCAGGGAGATCAGCAGTAACTGGAGCCAAAGCCATTGACAGATGGAACCAGCCAATTCTAGTTTTGTCCCATGCTCCTCCCTGCTGAGTTCTACAAGGCCAGCACTGAGACTAAGGAGAAGAAGGAAGCTTACAGCCAACTGCTGCCTTCTGTACTGGTTGTAAGGGGCAGACTGGTGGGGCAGTGACTTATTTGCCCTAATGAACCAACCACCATTGAGAAGCTGCCCTATGCCAGATCAGAGTATTTTGTCTATCTAGCTCAGTATTATCTACGTTGGATAGCAGTAGTTCTCCAGGGGCTCAGGTGGAGATCATCCACCTCAATGACTACCTGATCTTTTAAACTGGAGGTGCCAGGAGGGATTGCACCTGCGACCTTCTATACACCACTGAGCTCCAGCCCTCCTGGACACCATGTCACAGGAAGGAGAAAATTTCTAGAGACTTCGATTGCATAAACCAGCACTTTGCATGCATTTTGGCGTGTAAACGAATAGCTGAGGTGTACAGCACAATTCGGTCGCTTGGAATCGCTCAATATCAAATTAACTTCAGATGTGCTCGGATTTATCTGTTGCAGGAGGCAAATGCCAGGCCAAGGAGAAGATAAATTTGATATGCTTGCAATGCAAAGGCCATTTTGTGAGTAGAATTATAAACGTCTTTTTAGAGGTATTAACTTCCCCCGTGCTTACAAAAGGAAACCAAATATTTTTGCAGTTGGTCTGAGAAATGTTTGATCCAAAACTTATTTTTCACACTGGAATGTTTGAAGCATCCAACATATTTGGCCCATGATGAAAATGTCTGTCTCTGTTGCTCGGCTGCTGTTGTTTTTCTTCCTCTCTACATCATCTGCGCTGTGCACAAACAAGCGAGAGCCGTTCCATTCCACTCATTTTTCTTATGTTCTGTGCTGAGCAAAGGGAGAGTGTTTTCCTTTACATTCCCATTAGCTGCTGCAGCTAAAGACAATTAGGGGGAGCAAACGGAATAGATTAAGAGAAAATTAGCTTGGTTGCAACACTGTTGGAGCCTGTTGGCATAAAACTACATTGTGTTTGACAGTGGGGATGGTGATATTTTTACTGCACTGACACTTTTTGGTCTAAGACTTAAAATTAGAACAGAAACAGCTTCTTTGGATGAAATAATTATAGGTACTGTAGTTACTCAGCTGCAGGATTGCAGGAAGCAATGATCATACCTTTAAATCAGGCATAGGCAAACTTGGCCCTCCAGACGTTTGGGACTACAACTCCCATCATCCCTAGCTAACAGGACCACTGGTCAGGGGTGATGGGAGTTGTAGTCCCAAAACATCTGGAAGGCCGAGTTTGCCCATGCCTTCTCTAAATCCATTATGCTACATGGCAGGGGTGGCTAACCTGTGGTCCCCCCCAGATGCTGCTATACTACAGTTCCCATCATCCCTGACTGTTGACCATGCTGGCTGGAGCTGATAGGATTTATAGTCCAACCACATCTGGAGAGACATTCCTACTCTTTTTGCAACATATGGAATACAAAGAATTGTAAAGCCAGATTTCATTTAATCTTCCCCATCCCTGGAATCCCTTACTTGTAAAATTAATCCTCATCATGACAAACATTGGAAACTTACTTATCCCAGGTTAGACTGTTTCCTCATCTAGCCCAGTAGTGTCAACTCCAACAGACAGCAGTAATGTAGGGCCCACCTGCACTATGCATTTAAAGCAATGGTGTTTCACTTTAAACCGTCATGGCTTTTCCCAGAGGATCCTGGGAACTGCAGTCTATTTAAGGTGCTGTGAGGAAACCCCTGCTCCCCACACAGAACTATAATTCCCAGAGTTCTCTGGGAAGAGGCATTGATTGGTAAACCACTCTAGGAATTGTAGCTTTGGGAGTCAATAGACCTCTAAGGCAGACAGCACTACCTCTAAGTTGGAATCAGATTTCTGAAGACAGAAACTGCACCCTAAGCTTCTTCACCTCCTCTACTGGAGTCAATCACTCCAGATGCAGGCAGATCCATTCCAGCCTTTTTATTCTGCCTCTCTCTCTCTCTCTCTCTCTCTCTCTCTCTCTCCACTTGACTGGGTCCATGTTTCTTTGAAATGTCAGTGAGTCTGGGCACACCAAGCACATACCCTACACACATGTATGCTTGCTTTTAACATATACTGTAGTTGTCTCTGATATTTCCCCAGCCTTTGACAGACTGATCCCTGATGTCTCTGTGCAGCCCATTTGTTGAGTTCCTGATCAGCTTTCAAGATAGTCAAAACCATTGTTAACAGGCTCATTCTGAACCATAGTTTTCAGCAGGTGGTGCCTCTTACTGAACACACACATTGTATCTCTGTATTTATTTAAAGGTACATTCTTCCATCTTATCAAATGGCACCTTATCAGCTGTATTCCATGGAGGCAAATTTAAGACTGCTGTATGTATGTAAAATATTTGTATAGCCTTTTGCCTCTGTTGGCTCTGCAAAGATAATGCAGAATACTTCCTCCTTATACATGAGTAACGGAAGTGTTTACATAGGCCAGGCCAGATATATGCAAAAGGAAGACAGGTAAGTTGATAAATTGACTAGAGGGTTGCACAGATGCAATTTAAGCCTTTCTTGTCTTGCACCAATGCATATAATGAAAAGAGAATAAATAACCCTATCTCCATTGTGTAGATAGAAGGACAAATTTGTCTGAAGGGAGAAGAAGAAGAAAATGCAGAAGCCACTTTAATTAACAAAGGTGAAACATTTGTAATGTGTGTTTTGGATTTATCTCAAAACAAGTATAGTTGTTTCTCAGAGTTTGCAAGAGGGTGTGAAACCAGCTGTTTCCTGTATGAGGCTTCCTCTAGTATAACCCATTCCTATGAAAGAGAAAAAGGAAGGATTCTCAGCACTTTATCTTTATTTTACCCTAACAAGACAGCTATTTGCTTTAGGCTGTGCAGTAGGGGAACAGGGCGAGCCTTAGACCAAATGGCGCTGCAGGCAAGGAGGCGTGGCTTCAATCCACCTACTTTTCTAATAAGAAAATATACTTGCACCCCATTTCATGAATTTGATGCACAGTTTGCATGCATGATTTATCCCTGCCATATAAGATGATAAATTTGCATACTTGGATCTATAAATCTGTACTTATTCATGCTATACAAACTGTTTGTACCTGCTTGTTTTAGCTACTGAGTGGACAATTGAGGAGATGATCTGTAACAGATGCACCTACCTCCCTGGTCCAGAAGCCTCCAAGCTTGCAGCCCCAGGGAGTCAAATGGCACTTTGCTTGATTGCAATGAATGAAGTATGGGC